TGAGGTTCAGCATCAGGTTGTTTAATTGGGCTCACTGTGTTTTCCTAATATGAGTATTCACTGCTATGAATTTCCCTTGTAAGACTGCTTTCATTGTGTCCTATAGACTCCAATATGGTGTATTGTCATTGTCATTTAATTGTAGGAACTGTCTGACTTCTTCTTTAATTTCCTCTGTGACCCATTTGTTGTTCAGGAGGGTGTTGTTCAATTTCCATGCGTTTATGAAGTTCTTGTGGTTTCTTTTGCTATTGATCTCCAATTTCATTGTGTTTTGATCTGATAATATACAGGGGATAACTTCAATTCCTTTGCACTTACTTAAACATGTCCTATGAGCGAGTATGTCATCTATTTTGGAGAATGACCCATGTGCAGCTGAAAAGAATGTGTATTCTGATTTTGTGGGGTGTAACACTCTTTAAACATCTGTTAAGTTCATTTGTTCACAAGTTTGATTGAGTTCTAGTATTTCATTGCTTATTTTTTGTCTAGTTGATCTATCTATTTGTGACAGTGGGGTATTGAAGTCCCCCACTACAATTGTATTACTGCTTATTTGATTTTTTCATGTCTGTTAGTATTTGTTTTATATAGTTGGGTCCACTATTGTTTTGTGCATATAAATTAATGATTGTCATCTCTTCTTGTTGGATTGTTCCCTTTACAGGGATGTAGTGTACTTCTTTGTCTCTCTTAATCAGTGTTGGTTTGAAATCCACTTCATCTGCCAAGAGGATAGCTACTCCTGCCTTTTTTTTGGTTCCTGTTGCATGGAGCATTGTTTTCCACCCTTTAACTTTCAGTCTGTGAGTTTCTTTTTGAATTAAGTGTGTTTCTTGTATTCAGCATATTGTTGGATTTTGCCTCTTGACCCATTCTGCCAGTCTATTTCTTTTGATTGGTGAATTGAGACCATTTAAATTGATGATTACATATTGCCTTATCCTTGTCATGACTTTTTTTTGTTGTTGGATTATCCTCCTTTGCTTTAATTTCTTGTCATGACTGATGGATTCATTCTGTTGGGCTTCTGGGGTTGTGATCTTCATTGTCTTTTCCTAGGATATTGTCTGAAGTTTTTTGGAGTGCTTGTTTGGTATTCATGAAGTTCCTCAGGTGCTCTTTGTCATAAAGTATCTGATTTCTCTATCAATTTTGAAAGATAGTTTTGCAGGGTACATCAGTCTGGGTTGGAGATTGTTTTCCTTTAGGGCTTGAAATACATCACTCCAAGCTCTTCTTGCCTTGAGGGTTTGCATTGAGAAGTCTGCTGTGATTCTGATGGGCTTTCCCTTGTATGTGATTTGATTATTTTCTCTAACTGCTTGTAGAATTTTGT